GTACTTTTCAAATTTTGGCATCTTGAAGCTAGCTAGAAAGTGGACATGAGGGAATATACAGAGGTCAGAGTATGAGACACTCTTTTGGCCACTCAGACCTTGCATGTTTTTCAGGCTTTGTTCCAGGCTCTTCATCTTCCGAGCCATTTCCTCTTGCTCGGGATTTTTAACCACCTTTTCTTGCTCCACCGAAAAATCATATTGCGGAGGTTTAGTGAAGGAGTATGGGGTCACATATGTTATTTTTGGTTGAAATTGTAGACCCTAAAAGATGAACATTGGAGGCGGTGCCCTTGAAGCCGGTGCCTGAGGGAGAACCACAGAAGGCATGCCAGGATCATTGGAGGGTGCCCGCATGGGATGAGCGGGTTGGACACAAGGGCGTTGGTAACCTCATTTGACCTGGGGATCAACTCAGGGAACCCAGAGATTGAACTTGGTGGTTCCCTACCATTAGACCAGACGTCCCACATTTCCAATATGCAGAGACGCAACATCTTATTCTCCTCAGCAGCTACTGATTTTAGCTGCAGAATAGCCGATGTCGGGCTATCTTCAGGACCGATGATCGGTAGATTGCTTGCGGAGGTCATCTGTGCTTTTGGATCTTGTGAAGGAGGGGAGGCTAAACTACCAACAAAATCAACCACCAAAACTTGGCTTGTTTGCACACCCATCAACACTTATTAGTTTTGGGACATCTAACATATAGGAAATCGCACGTTGGGATGCAATGCACCTAACAGTTAAATGCTTCTACCATGTATTTGAACGGTTGCATGTTTCATCCCGCCTTAACTAACTCTTTCAGTATGTAACTCTTTTCTTTTATTTCTGCCTCTCTTTAATCACTCTTGATTTTCTCATTTTGTTTTTGCCGCTCTTTTATTTTGGCACTCTCTTTTTCTTTTCTTTTTTTCATTTTTTTTCACTCTTTTATTTTTTGGCATTTTTTTTCTATTTCTTTCTTTTTTCACTCAATTTTTTTTTCAAATTATTTTTCACTCAGTTTTATTTAATAGCTATGATCGAATCCGATGAGGATTGCCTACGTATCATGACGTCGCATGAATTAGATAATGCATAGTTCGAAAAGATCGAGAATGGAGTAAATAAGCTAACTCTTGTTTTTATAAAACTTAGACCATGAAAGCTTAAAGAAAAAGAAAAACATATTTTTTTTTTGGTGGAATTTTCAAAATAAATGCTTTAAAAGAAGAAAGGAAATATTTTTTGGATTTTTGATTTTGACTCTTTTTTTTTTTTTGAAAGAAAGACTTCTGAAAATTTCTTTTCTTTTGATTTGAACTTTGGGAATTTCAAAAGTAAAAGGAAGATATTTTTGTTTGAATTTTCATTAATTTTCTCTTTTTCTAAAGAAGAAAGAAAATATTTTGAATTTTGGATGTTGCCTCTTAATTTTCGAAAGAGGGACTTTTAAGAAAATATTTTGGATTTCTGAGTTTTTTTTTTAAAACTACAAAAGTACTTCTAATGAAAAAACAAAAATATTTTTGGACAATTTTTTTTCTTTGAAAGAGACTTTTAAACAAGGTTTTTTTGAATTTTTGGGAAAAGACTTCTTAAAAAGGTGGAATATATATTGGATTTTGATTTTACTTGTGAATTTTCGAAAGGACTTTGAAGAAAACATTTCGGATTTCCGAGTTTCTCTTTTTTTTTTCTTTTTTAATTTACGAAAGTACTTTTAAAGGAAAGCGAACATATTTTTGGACTTTTATTTCTTAATTTTTTTTGGACATTTACAAAATAAAGACTTCAAAAGAAGAAAAGAGTATTTTTTGGATTTTTGTTTCTGATTTTTTTTTTGGATTTTCTGGGAAAAATACTTCAAAATGAAGGAAACCCGTATTTTGGATTTTGATTTTTGATTTTTATTTTTATTTCTTTTTTCCCATATGAAAAGGAAACTACTATTTTTTTTTTTTGAATTTAAATTTTTTTTTTTTTTTTTTGAAGTTTCTAAGTAAATGCTTCTAAAGAAGGAATTAAAGGAAAATATTTTGGATTTTTTTAAAAGTGAGGCCGGAACCGATGATGTTTACCTACGTATCTCACATCCGATGAGAATCAGACCTTCGTAGTTCGATCAGTTTTGATAGAAAAGGGGAACATGACACTTGAATATTTTTTGGCTCAATTTGAAATGACCTTTTCTTTTTTTTTCTTTTTTTTTTTCAGAATTTCGGCAGAGTTTCAGAATTTTCCAAATATCTACTTCTCGCTCTTTTTTTTTTTTTTTTGATTTTCTTTCTTTATTTTAGAAGCCAGTCAACATGCAAGCCGAAACAAACAGATGCGCAAGTAGCATGTAGGATACATCAGGATGATCTTTTAATTTGGGGACACCTGTCCTAGACGGACCCAACCCCTGTGTTGAGTCCCCAAAGTCAAAAGCACATGATGCAAACAAGCGTTCCTACTAGGGATCCGACATGAGGCTGTGTTATTCTAGATTTAAAACCTGGGTGTATTGTTCTAGATCGGGCTTACCCGTCAAGCTAATATTAACCTAAGTGACGTAATGAAAAAAGTCACTTGGTACTTTTAGGACAAAATCTAAAAATACTTAGACAAAATCTAATAAGAATTATTGATCAAATTTAATCTAATGGTATAAATCAATTAGATTGACTCATATTTTCATTGTAAATAGATTCCAAAACTTTTCAAAAATAAGAATTTCTGTTTTAGTAATTATTTACTAACAACATGATCCGTTTTCTTCCATTTTGTAAATTTTTTTTTAGAAACATTATGTAGAAAAAAAAAATGACAGTGGAACCATTATTGTAAAAAAATTGAGATAAGATTTTATTTAATAATAAAATATGATAAGAAAAATCACACTTTGAAATATGAGCAATAGAATCAAAGTTACTATTGAAATATTTTTATATTTATTTTCATTGTATTAGAATAAGTATGGTAAAAATGGATATTAAATTTAAACAAGTTAATGAAAAGCCACAAGACAATATAACAATATTAAGTATTGAATAATATAATAGCAAACTAAGGAACAAATAAAGAAAAAAATTAAATGTTTCATCATACAAAAGAAGAAGGATAAAACTTATTTAAATTTGAGATGAGAAAATTTTGTTTAAGTATGATAAGCAATGACATGCATGTATATAAGGCCATATAATTAAAGTCTAATAGATAAAATAAAAACAATTAAAATTCAAAAAAAAACTATATTGGAAATAAAAGGAAAAGACTATTTGAATTTGAGATTAGAAAGTTCTTAAAATTATGATGAGAACGCTCAAAATACGGATATGACCACAAAATTAAAGCCTTGCTAGATAAGGAAAAATAAAATTTTGATACTAAATTAAAAATTTGAAAATACAAATAAATATCTCATGTAAGTCATTTCACAAATGAAAATTAAAAGTCAAATTTATATCTTGAAACTAAAAGAGAAAATAAAATAAAAGCACGTTATATAAAAAATAATTATAAGAAAATTTAAGAGATTTGAAACACTATAAAAGAAATTATGTATTAATTTTTAGACTAATTCAAAGTTATATTTTAAAATAAAATATGATATTATTTTTAGTATAGGTAAAATATTTATGTAAAAAGCTAATTAATTTTTTTTAATAGGGAAGAGAATGTATATAGAGGAAATTAGAGATAGTGCGAGGATACTTATATTTTTAGATTTATTTAAAAATAAATAAATTATATTATTAAATAATACTAAAAAATATTATTAATAGATTTAAATGATGAAAGAGATCGAATAAGAGGATAATAGTGTAAAATACATTAAATTTCAAGAATAATCTTTTTTACATTTATTGATAATTATTAAATGAGTAATAAAAGATCACATTATAGTATAACAATATTAAGTAATAAATAATGCAAAAACTATAAGCAAGGAACAAAAAAGAGAAAAAATTATGTCTAAAAAAGTAGAAGAATAAGACTTATTTGAATTTGAGATGATAAATAAAGTGGTAATAATAATTTTATTAAAATAATATAATTTAATATGCTCAAACAAGACAGATCACAACGTTTCATGTTTAGTATTATTTAATATTGACCGTAAAATATAATACAAGTGTCAAAATCAAGAGGTTGGGTTATTACGGATATAAAAAAAAATCATGTTATCCATTATGATATTTAAAAAATGGTTTCATGTTCTGCTTCTTAATTAATATCAAATAATTATGGGGTATTATCACTTTTAGCCCGCACCAGAAACTATTTACATCTGGTAGCCGAAAAATTGTATAATTTTTGTATATAACATACAAATGTATATATATACAAAAAATATATAAAATTTATATATTTTTTCGGCTATTATTTTTACAGCGGCTATATAGTATCATTTCCTCGATAATTATTTATAATTTTTATATAGAAGGTTTAATTTTAAGGCTATTTGCATATAATTCAAATAAACTAAATCATAATTTGACATGGTTTATGTCCGCGCATCGTGCGGGTACTAATACTAGTTATATTAGTTATGAAAAAAGTTTTATGTCCAAATTTATTTTCTTTACGCGGTCAATAAAACAATCATTAGAATTTAAATTTTTTATATGCAGATAGTATAAAAAAATTAATAATACATTCAAGTCACTTTAATTTTCTATAACGCTCATAAGCTGGTAACTTATAGAATATGGTAAGTGAGCTTGAATGTGCAATATGGTAAAGCTACTCTTTCATTATGGAATACGGATAGTGTCATAAGACAGGTTTGTTTCAACCTATTAATATAGCAAGAGTGCACATGACCACTAAAGGATGCGGTGCGGTGGATGAAGTTGTTCCTCTCTTTAATCAGAGGTCTCGAGTTCGAACCCTGGGTATGGAAAAATCCTTGGTAGGGAGCGTTACCCTCGAATGGGGCCCTACCCGGCGCGAATCTGGATTAGTCGGGCCCCAATGTGGGTATCGAATACCGGGTGAGAAATCAAAAAAACAAGAGTGCACATGTATTTTACATATATGATAAACTTAAATAGAAAAACACAAACCAAATATTAAAAAGTTAAACCAAACTACAAGCTTAAGAACTGAAAACACATTGAAACAGAAATTGTAATAGAACTGATACAGCTCAAGGATAAGCCAAAATAACAGATTCAATAGCGTTGATGTGCTTAATAGAATGACTATTGAATCCAGCTGCAGTCAAAATTTGAGCCCATTCTTTGGCAGTTCTTTCTTTTCCATTTGTTGTGTGAGCCATCATTACCATATCCAGCATAAAACCAACATCTTTGAGCTTTTCATTTCCTTCTCCTTTTTCTTTCTCAAGCACTACTTCCACCATTATCACTTTTCCTGTGTCTTTTGGGATAATCTTTATGCAATTTTTCAAGATTTGAATACATTCGTCGTCACTCCAATCATGTAAGATTGACTGATATTCACCACAAGAAAGATTCAAAAACAAATTGAAATAGAGAACATTAAGATATGCATATACAACAACAACAACAACCCAATATAATAGGGTAGTGTGTACGCAGACCTTACCCCTACCCTAGGGTAGAGAGACTGTTTTCAAATAGACCCCCGACATCCTTCCCTCCAAGAACTTCCCACCAAGTGGGGGTTGCTTACCATCAGAGCAACCCCTCTAATTGTCAAAAGGAATTGAAAAATTTAGGTACATTCACTTAATTGTCAAAAGTAGAAACAACTCAACAAGCGTATACAACTATCTTTTAAAAATAGTAACCATATACGGCTTGCTTAACTTCCTATAATGGTGATTTTAGCATATAAGATCCATATACTGAGGCGGAACCAGTATTTTAAGATTATGGGTTCTAATCTTGTCACCAAATCATAACTCGTTTTAGTTACTGGATTCACAATTAAATATTTTTACATATTTAATAATTTTTCACTAAACATTTCGAGGGGCGTATACACCATTTCACAGGCAGGCGGAGTCATGTGACATCGCTTGGTCCAAAATTTTACTAAATATACGTTATAGAAAGATGAAATTATTGGATATGAATATAAAAAACGACATTGTCACTATAGTAATTTATTTTATGTTCATTTCTTTAAATATTGACACCGCTTGTCAAAAATTCTACTTACGCCACTGCACATGCCGAATTTAAGCAAAAGCTACTGGGTTTGACCGAACCCGTAGCTACCACACTACCTCCACACCTGTCCATATGCGTCTTAATTATCTCACTACATCATACTATAAACATAAAGAATTAACCTAAATAGCCGTCAACTCAATTGATTAAACTAAAAATAATCGGTGATATATAATATATGTATTGTATGTGTATAATCTATGTACCAACTGTGAAAGTAAACAGTAAATTCGGTAAGCTATTAGCCCTACTTACCATGAGGAAAGCAGCATCTGCTTTGGGAATAGAATCAAACATATTGCCTTCAACATGTTGAACACCATGACAATGAGGAGCAACAGAAACAACATGAGGAAGATCAAAATTAATCCCTCTAATCCAAGGAAATGTTTTCACCAACAGACTAATAGTTGTTCCATCACCTCCACCAACATCAACTAAAGTCTCTATCCCTTTGAATATTTCTGGACAATTATCAACGATGGCAAGGATTGTCACCCGTGCATGGCACGCCAAGGCGTCGTTGATTAGCTTGCTGTGCTCTGGATTGGTTTCTGCGTACTCCCACACATCCTTTCCATGAACTGCGCTAAATGATGCAGTATTCCCTGTTGAGATATAATATAATTAAGTAATATAAAAATGTATATATTTAATGGCGTAATCTTTTAGATGAAACAGTCACATAATTTAGTAAAATATTAAAATTGGAGATGGCAACATCAACCAATTTTTGTTTAATCCGTCTGTTAACTTAACTCAACTAATTGAATCTGAAATGACCCATCAAATCACTGGGCAAGACGGACCAACAACAACAACAACATATCCAGTATAATCCCACAAATGGGGCAAGACGAACCAAACAGTATAATCCAATGGATTCAAATACGACTCAAACACAAATAGACAATCCATGGATGCGAACTCAAATATACAAAATATAATTTGATGATAAGGAATATGAAAGTTTGGTAGAACTTAAACTAACAATTTAAGGAAAAATATAGTACTCCATTAGCTTTCATATTTTTCTTCTTTCCAAAAAGCAAAAAAAAAAGAAAAAGATGTGAGGTTGGATTATACCAAGCGAGTCGAGTTATAACATGATATTTGTACTATTTTAACTCAACTCATTATGATCCAAGCTAACTTTAGACGGGTTGGATCATGATCCACTTATTGATTTAGCCCATTTGATCTGATCTATCTTGTTTGTCACCTTTAGATAAAATGATCATACAATTCAACATGCTCTCACCTTTTGCCAGAGCGCGAGCACTCAGAAAATGCCATGGCGCGAGCATCACTGGACTAGCTTCAAGTAGGACAAGAGCAGCCATGCTATTTTCTCCATCTTTCCTCAGCAAACGAGAAAGAGGTGTTTGGACATAACCAATTTCGCCATGTCCTGTGGATTCCTCTTTGAATATTCCCCTATTAATCAAGAACCTCAGAATGCGGTAGAGAAAATTAGAACAAGAGCAGCCAAGTACAGAGGACAGTTGATTTAAGGTGATGGGTTCTTGATGGTTTTCTAAGAAATCAGGTATTCCCAACTCAATAGCACATTTTACTGCAGCCATTTCAGTGAAACCAAATATGTACTTCCATATATCTTCTTGAGCTTGAGACTCAGCTTTGTCTCCTTCATGGATTCTTGCTACACCATTTGTTTCTTCCCCCATAATATACCAATTCTTGTGACAAAGCTAGAAGATTTTTGCGGTTTAGTGGTGCAAGCTAAGTGATCCAGCTATTTACAACAATAGCAACAACAGCAACAACAACGACCCAGTATAATCCTACAAGTGGGGTCTGGGGAGAGTAATATGTACGCAGACTTTACCCCTACCCCGAAGGATAGAGAGGCTGTTTCCAGGAGACCCTCGGCTCAAAAAAAGCAATAGGAGATGATATATTAGTACGATAAAGGTAATCCAGCTATTTATAGAATTAATTACACCTTACACTAGCTAGAAATTAGAATAGTCTTGTTGCAAGGTGTATGTTCCAAACATTTGAGTTTGATTTTTTATTTAACATGTAACTCGATCATACATCAAATCTAAAGCAAACCAAGCGGTTAAATTCTAAGTGAAGAATTCATTCGTACCGATATATAAAGAGGAGAATCTTACAAAAATATCCCAAATAAGTTCCAGCTTAACGACCTTTAGCTATTAATCATATACTTACTAAAATTAACCAAACACATATAAAAATTGAAAACCCAAACAAATAAGATTCTTTCTCTTCAAGAATCACACGCAAAAATCTCCTTCCATATTTTTAAGCGTGATCAGCAACATTAGATGCAAGATAAAAAAAAAATCATGGATGAGGTAGCAAACAAGGCGATGAAATACAATATATATAAGATTCCAAATCTAAGCAAAAAATGAACTTTTTCAATGGGTATAGTTGAAATTTTGAGGAAGATTGGACGTGATTTGGATTAATTTGGTATCAAAATTCGTAGTTAAAATCGAGTTCAAAAAATTCTTTTGCGACACATCATTTTTTTCATATTTCATCTTCTACTCCGTATTTTCAATTCAAATCATCCCAAAACTGAGATTCAGACTCTTTAAGATATACCCAATCTATTCTAATAACACCCCTCAAAAGAAAACAAAAATTTAACTTTTTTTGGCTACAAATAGCTAATTGGCTAATATTAGTAATATTTTCTGAATTGACCAATTTTTATAATAAGCTACTTATAAATGGACATAATTGGTAGTTCTCCTAACTTAAATTCTTTATTGCTTGCATTATTACACATTAAAGTCATTTAGACTAGACCAAAATCATTGATCCCTCACCCAGAAAATTGACCCAAATCTCACTTAACATGTTTTCTCACTAATCACAACAAAATAAATAGTACCAACTAATAGCATTTATTTGGCAATATCGTACTGGAAAAAGATTGCAAAAGATCATGTTGTCGGAACTTGGAAATGGATTGATGGAGACACGTATCTCATGAATTACGGTGTACCCTCTACTTAGAACATCAAGAAGATAACATTGTGTGCCCATAATCACGTTAATTTAAATAGTAACCCAACATAGTTTGACATATTTCATTCGAGTAAATACATAATCAAGATGACACAAATTCAATCTTTTTTACGAAGATGTTGTCCGGATCAGCTTGCACCATAATTTGACTATTTCACTACCTGACTATCTCCCACCAATATAAGTACTGAGTAACTCCACCCCTTAAAGCTTTGGCAGATGCACATAAATCACCTACTCTTTGTCCCAGTTTATGCGACAGTTTTTTTTTTAGTCCATCCCGAAAAAATGACACCTTTCTATATGTAGTAAAAATTTAACTTTGAAAGATCCATTTTACCCTAAATGAGATAGAATTATAACCACACAAACACATATAGCTCATTTTAGACCACAAATTTTAAAAGTCTTTCTTTCTTTTTTAAACGTTGTGCCCTGTCAAATACCATTACATAATTCGGACGGAGGGAGTAGTATTTTTGGTCTCCGCTAGAATTTGAACATGAGAGACCTCATAATTTTCCTCACTTTATTGATCACTAGGTCACACGGCGACTGACTAGTTTATTAATAGAGATGCACGTTGGTTCCTTACACTTCAAAGCGAGGCGAAATGCTCAACCTGGATTTCTACCAAAGCTTAGATGTGCCTCAAACACGCCTTTAACAGTAGTGTGAGAAAAGGAAGATGTACAGAACCTTCTTTTGTAAGGTAAATAAATTAAAGGAAGATGTACAGAGATTTAATCACCTACATATCAAGATAAATTCATATATACATCACTGGTTATAAGATTGATGTAGAAAATTTTAGCTTCCCACATGCTGTTTCCTTCTAATGACAGAGCTGAGCTTCTCAACCTCACTCAACAATGAGGAATTTCCTTCACAAGCTTCTTTCAAAATCTGTAATCTATTTTCCACATTGCAACTGTGCTGGGGCATCTCAGATATGGTGCCTGGCCTTTGGTACTCCAGTAAGTTAACAAAAAGGCTCTGTAATTGGGAATAAAACAAAAGTATGAACGAAACGTCTCCGAATAGAATCATAAAACCAGAAAATGCACTTCAAGACCAGCTTTAGTAGAGCTATCAGGTTACCTAGTTGAGTGAAGGAGAGAAAGCAAGCATGGATGTAGAATTGTAAAATTTCATAAACACTTGAGACTTTAATGTGCATGAAAACAAACTTACAAGGCAAATCAAATCAGCGAACAGGAGCATTGTTAAAGGCAAAAAGCCACGGGAAAGCATCAAGTTCTATCTAGGCTTATGCACAAAGCTCAATTGAAGTACGATTGTTAGTAAATAATGCCACAAAATGAAGAAAAAATGAAAATGCATAGTGCAAGAAGAATCACTATAAAGTAAACTACAATTATATGTGCCAAGGAATTAGAAAAACTGAATTTAAGTTTATACAGAGGAAAAACCATGTCAATCGAGTTCAGAAACCATTTTAAAATTCTGAATCAGGTACAGAGATGCATTTAAGTTTTTAAATGAAGGTGAGTAAGCTTGCTTAATTTAAATTTCTAATTTCCTGTTCCTAGTATAATGTGTGTGTCCATACTTCTTCCCTTAATGATTATATATATATATATATATATATATATATTTTATTTTATTTTTTTTTACCGGCTTTATCTATCTGTTAGCAACGTCCTCTTCAAGATAAGGGCCACAAGCCTTATAAATTAACCTTATTTATGAATATGAGAAAATAAACAAATTGTTCGTTGGTGGGAATTTGCTAAGGCGACGCTTTAGAGCCTTGACACATTCACTAATGCGCCATGTAAGCAGCCGAAAGCACATATCCTGCTAACACGCCTGAAAATGAGCCTTTGACAACAGAATAAGGGATTAACTAAACAGTAAGCAAGTCACCAATTTGCACTAATTTGCATACCTCATGTTGCTTCTTACGGGAGTAGTCTCGTAGCAGAGATTTGGCAAGCTTGTTTCGCAAAGGAAGCATATTCCTAGAGCAAGTCTGGAAAACAAATGATGACAGATGGTGCAAGGCCAAAGTGAACGAGGCAGATCCTCGACTTGCTGCTTTGTCTAGAGCTCCTGAAACCCATGATTTACAGTAAGCTTCCAACATCCTCTCGTCATCCTGCATCAAAGTATTAATTATCCGCAAGTTAGCAAAGTATTAACTAATTCTTTGTCTAGAGCAGAAATTTTGTAAGAGCTTTCCTCAACTCAACTTGCCTTATCCTACAAAAATTGAACTACACGAAACTATCTCTCTCAATTCACTCTTTTCCAAACAATGTTTAGTAATGCCATAGTTACAATGCATATTTCTAATAACCTTCCCTTCTACCTTGTAACATTTTGTTGCCATCCTACCTTGTTCTTAGGCATCAGTATCTTGTGACTGGACAAGATTAATTACCATCTTAAATGTTACCTTCTCAAAAAAAAAAAAAAGATTAATTACTATCTGGATTTATATATGAAGACATCCTGAACAACTAACACAAGTACTAAAAAATTTGTGCGCCCGTTATTAACCATCCATAACATACAAGTTATTTTTATTAATGTCACATGGCCAGAAAGAGACCCTCTCCCAAACAACATTTTTCCTTTCCCTTTCCTTTTCCCTGTCTCTCTTTCTCCCATTTCCTTTTTGTTTCAGAATATAAAGTTCAAGGAGGGAGGCAGAGCACAAAGAGGGCAGCCCGGTTCACGAAGCATCCCGCATTCACGCAACGTCCGGAGTAGCGCCGCACCCCAAGGAGAGTGATGTAGCAGCCTACCCTGATGAAAATATCACGGTTGGAACCCGTGACCTATAGGCGATAGGTCACACGGAGACAACTTACCGTTGTACCAAGGTTCCCGTAAGTTTCATTGTATAAATAGTAGTAAATAACCCTAATCCCATATGTATTAGGAGTAGGGCATGTATTGTATATATAGGGCTCATTGTATCATTGTCATTTTTAATATAATATATTTTTTCCCGTGCTTTCTCACATGGTATCAGAGCATCGGTGAGAAGAGATCGTTGTGCGTCATTCCAGCGATATCCAGGAAGAAAGAACTCAGTCACCGTGCAATTTTTCGGTGACCTAAGTGACTAATTGCGTCAAAGTCACTAATTATCAGTGTTGTGCAAAATCCAATACCACCACAAGGTTCCCAAGAGAAATCCGACCAAACCCCAGAAAAATCACCGGAAAATAGTTAGCCACGCGCTGTCACGCGCCCGTAGGAGAACTGTTTCCGGCGGTGCGTCTGTCACATGCGCCGGCGCGTGACCCCTTCCGTCAGATTTAGAAAAAAATTCTTCAGTACAACTTTATCTCCTAGAAATTCCGAGTCCATTGATACTATTTTCGACAGATTCCGACAGCTTTGGAATTTTCCGGCGAGCTACAGTGATTTTTCCGGCGTGAACAGTGATCCCCAGCAATTTTCTGCTTTTTCCGGCACGATATTACAATGGAATTCGTATCTGAAGCCTTTAACTCGCAATCCGTTGGATTAAATGCAATAAATCCAATCCAGATGGTTTCTTTACCGGATTATATTGAGTTCCTTCAGTACAAAGCACGTAAACAGACATCTTCAGGATTAACCTCCGTTGTTCCAACAAATAGTAGCATGACTGGTGTCTCCCAGTCTTCACCTTCTGGGTCTTGGGTAATTGATTCAGGTGCATCTGATCATATTTCTGGTAATAAATCTCTTTTCACTAGTATCTCATATTCTCAATCTCTTCCATCAGTCACAATGGCCAATGGGTCTCAAGTCATGGCAACTGCAATAGGTCAAGCAAGTCCACTTCCTTCCTTACCTTTAGACTCATTTCTTTATGTTCCTGGTAGTCCTTTCAATCTCATAGTCGTTAGTCGCTTAGCCAAATCACTTAAATCTGCTGTTTTATTTCTTGATGACCTTATTTTTATATAGGAACACAGTACAGGGCGGATCATTGATATTGGACGTGAATCAGATGGACTTTATTACCTTATCTTTGCAAAATCACATGGACTCGCATCTTGTCTTCCTCCGATACCTTCTCCCGTTACTGATTCACCATATTTATTACATAAACGGTTAGTACATCTCAGTTTGTCAAAACTTTAGAAAATGGTACCTGGCTTATCTCACTTGTCCACTCTAGAGTGTGAGTCGTGTAAGCTCGGTAAGCATACCCGCTCCCATTTCCCGCGGCGTCTTGACAATCGAGCAGAGTCACCTTTTATTTTAGTCCATTCAGATGTTTGGGGTCCTAGTCGGGTTAGTTGTACCTTAGGATTCCGCTACTTTGTCAGTTTCATTGATGATTATTCCAGGTGCACTTGGATATTTTTGATGAAAAATCGATCTGAGTTGTTTTCTATTTTCCAGACCTTCCATGCTGAAATTCAAAATCAATTTGGGGTTTCTATCCGTATATTTCGTAGTGATAATGCCCTAGAGTATTTGTCTTCCCCATTTCAGCAGTTTATGAACTCCCATGGGATTATTCATCAAACATTTTGTCCGTACACATCCNTGGGAGTACGTGTTTTGTTCATGACCTTACTCCAGGAAAAGATAAGTTAGCTCCTCGTGCTCTTTAAGTGCATATTTCTGGGCTACTCGAGAACGCAAAAGGGATATCGATTTTATTGTCCTGACCTTCAGCGATTTCTTATGTCTGTTGATGTTACCTTCTTTGAAACTCAATTATACTTCACAGGTCCAGTTAATCACTTAGATATTTCTGAGGTGCTACCTGTTCCTTCTTTTGGAGATTCAGTCCCTTTCTCCCATTCATCTTCCTCCATAGCTCCACCGCCTACAGTTCCAGTTACAACTCCACCACCTATAGCTCCAGTGTCACCACCTAGTCCAATTCCACCAACTATAGCTCCAGTGCCACCACCTAGTCCAGTTCCACCAACTATAGCTCCAGTGCCACCACCTAGTCCAGTTCAACCTTCTACAGCTCCACCACTCCTGACTTATCATCGTCGTCCGCCCCCAGCATCAGGCCCAGCTGATTCACGTCCTGCACCTGACCCTACTAATAATGCGGACTTGTCTCCTTTTAATCAACCGATTGCACTACGAAAAGGTATACCGTCCACACTTAATCCTAATCCTCATTGTATCGGTTTAAGTTACCATCGTCTCTCATCATCCCATTGTGCATTTGTGTCATCTTTGTCCTATGTTTCCATCCCTAAATCTACAGGTGAAGCACTGTCTCATCCCGGATGGCGACAGGCTATGATTGACGAGATGTCTGTTTTACATACGAGTGGTACTTGGGAGCTTGTTCCTCTTCCTTCAGGTAAATCGACTGTTGGTTGTCGTTGGGTGTATGCAGTCAAAGTTGGTCCAGATGGCCAGGTTGATCGACTTAAGGCTCGTCTTGTTGCCAAAGGATATACTCAGATAT